ATACATATCATATATAAAATGTCTTAAATAGTTACTAATTTTTATAAGCTCGTTTGTTACTTAATAAAAGTGATTACAAAATTAATGCTAATTTTCTCTTACCTAAACATCCTTGTAGAGAACTACCCCAAGTGTATACATCACCATTTCTAATAAGTGCAACATGAGAGAAACCTGCACTCAAAGATCTTCTTTTGAAATCAACACTTGAAATACGATTGATGTGTTCTTGCTTTAATAAAAAAAATAAAATTTAATAATATAATTATGATTTAACAATGACATTTATATTAAATAAATTTAATAAAGTAAAAAATACCTTTCTTGTTCCCATTAATTGTATATTGTAACCTAAAGTACAAGTTTGATTTAATAAAACCTTTTTATGAATCAAAGTAAGTAGTATCAACAAAAACGTTTCTATTATTTCTTCTACCAATGTATCAGCTTCTGTCTATGTAAAGACATAAAATTTATTAGATATTGAATGTGACATAGAAAAAAAAATTATAATATTTGTTCAAGATTATATTTACATTGTTCTCTGCAAGATCTATAGAATCACATTGACTAGATTGAGAACTATAAGAAGTTGTCCTATGCCGTGCTTTACACTTAACCAATCTGGATCTCATAATTGGATTTGTTGGATCATATAAAGTAATCAACCTCTATAAAAGAATATCATAAAATGTTATGATATAAAATATATAAAAATAAATATAAAAATAATATTAAATTCTCACCTGTAATACGAAAATTTGTAACTCTGAAATACTATTAACAATAAATGAAATATGTTTTCTAGCTAGATTGGGATTTATCAACATTGCTTGCATCAAATTAGGTTCACTTAAACATATTAACAAACCATCTGAAATGTATCATTTTATAATGTGTTATTTGTGATAATGTCAGTTCATTCAGTTATATATAAATATGTACATACATGGTATAGATTTGCTTGCATCAAACAAATGTACAGTCTTCATAAGGACATCCAACATTTGTCCATAAAGACATCTTTGTGTAGCTAAATGATGTAAAACTTCCCAAAGACAGGTTTGACCTGCTATATTAATAGCCAAAAGTTCATCATAAAAGGAGTTTGTAGATAAGAAATATCTGAAAATAATATTTATTATAGATGAATTGGAGATAATTTTATAATACTGTAAAAATCTATGCAATCTTGTAATATTCATACTTACAAGAAATCTTTATAAATAGTTTTAGATTGATGCGGTGCAGCTCTCAATGTCATTTCTATAAAAACAAGAATACATAAATTTGACAAATGTATTCTTGTTGCAGCTGACAATTCACTAATAGCAGGAGAAATCAAACAATGTGTTAGACTGCTTAAGAGCTCTGAGGTATGGCCAGCTGATGCAAATTTTAGGATACTTTTCAATAGTCCACACTAGAAATAATTTGAAATTATTAGAATTTAGAAACAAACTTTATTGGAAACATATTAATATTAAATAACGAAGAATAATGTTATGTACCTTAGATAATTTATAAGAAGCTACAGCACGTGGGAATTCTTTATTTGCCAATAATATATCTCCAACATATTCAAATAATTGTTGTGAATTCATACCAAATATCAAAGCCAATTTTCCTGCCTTGTCTAGTTCATTCCTTTTTAAGACTAATTCCATAAAGACAGATAATAATGGTCTCCTAAAAATAAATAAAATTTATCAATAAAATATACTAGCATATAATACAAGATATTTTCTTTATGATCGATCTATTAAAATTTAAAAATTAAAATATATAAACTAACCTTAGCACAACTCCATATACAGCATAATTTGTTACAATTATACAAGTTTCTACATACGGTGTCTCAATTTTTATATCTTTCATTTTTAATGATGGTGTATATGAGTTCTCACCGTCATGAGATAATTTTTCAGATGTCATGTTTGCAAAATCAATAAATCTATAAACAGCATGAATAATTTCTTTACTGTTCTCAAAAGAAAACTGATCAATGATACATCCCGGATTAAACTTATAATCTCTGTTTGGATTAACTTCAGACATTTGATCAGATAATACATATAAAGTATATTGCGTAGCATCAGTAACAAAAAACAATTGGTGAGTTAATAAAATATTTTCACAAGATTCAGGTACTTTATGAATAGATAAAGGATCAGCATCAAAATCTGACCCATGTACCTATAAATGAAATATATAAAAAATATTATATTTTTACAAGTTTATCCTATATATTTCATATATAGAATAGTACGCAATCATTCTTACAGTTACATGACTGCTCTCAAGATGATAGCACGTATATATTTGTTGGCCTTTTCTGTCATATTGTGGTGTAAGAAATGTGTCTTTTGACATTGGTTCTGGATTTATTGTACCAATGTAATCTTCAGAACATGAATCAATATTGAGAATTGCCAAATTACTAGGTTTATTAGTTCCAGTATCTGTAAAAATAATAAGAGCATATTTTTATAAAGTGTATTGAGTCTCAGTAATTATATATCAAATAAAACAATTACCATGATATCGTGTATTTTCTCCTAAGTTCTGATTTTTTGTTTCCACTAATTTTTGTCTAAGAATAGCAAGTTTTTCTACAGATAATTGTTTAAGTCCTTGCAATCTAGATCTTGTAGAAGCAAAAGACTTTGTATTTTCATAAATCATTTCATTCGTCGGTGATTGTGTATACATTTCTCCATTTTCAAATTGACGTGAATAACTATACGTGCGATGTTCTAACAATAAACGCCACTGCTGTTTTGTTTTACTTGTTATTAAAAGTGAGATGCTATCATTACTTTTTTCTTTACAAATATGTAGACTAATAATATGTCCATTAACATGAGCTGTGCCTACTTGTTGACCATTTTCAAGATTTATTAATATTATTTCTCCATATTCAGTGCCAACAATACCCATATTTGTAGATGTTTTTGTATCTTGCCACCAAATTAAGGCTGTTGGTCTATAGATATACAAGTATATAATTTTATTATTACTAATAATAAAATTATTATTATATAAACAGACAATGTTAAAATTAAGTTTACATTATTTGCTAGATTAATATAAAAAAAATAATATATTTATATGAAATTACTCTTACTTGGAATGTGAAGACTGTGTACCAACGTATGTAATCATTGTTATATCATCAGTGCGCCATCGTTCACTAAAAGTACACTTTTCATCAACTAATTTTAAAACAGGAATTATATATAAACAACTATCATTAGTAGTCGCTAGAAGCCAAGACCCATAGGGGTCGAAACAAAAAGATGTTATTTGTTTATGGGTTCCTTTAAACCAAGGAATTCTTTTAATAATCGGTATGGAGGATATATCCTTTTTATAATAAAGTATAATATCAGCATTTCCAGTTGATAGTGCTAAAAATAATCTCTTTTCATAGTCACATTGGGCACTATGCTGTATATCTGATGCTTTAATAAAACATTGCAATTTAAATAATCTTTGTTCATCGAAATTTATATTTCCTTGATAACCTCCTATAGCTTTATTTTCAGTCATCATCATATAACCCCAGCTAACGTTTAATATCTTTTATGATAAAACCTATAATAAAAAATAAATTAAACAAAATTAGGACTTACATGTAAAATTATTTAAATTATTCAGTTTACTTAAATCTCGAAATTATCAATATCGATTAAAAATAATTAAAATAACTTTAAATAAAAACGTTCTAAAATAAAGAGAACGTTACGTTATTAATATACTTTACGAAAGAGTATTTTCAATGCAAAGTGTATATAAACTCTATTCATAATTCTATTCATAATTCTTAATATATAGACAGTAAAGTTCTACTAACCAAACTTGTACAAGGTACTTTTATACTTCAACGTTATATAATATACTTTAAAACAAGAGAAACCAAGATCACAATCATTTTTATCGTATCCTGCTATTTCATGGGGGTAACTTTCTATTAATTTACCAAACGTCAAAACTTCAAGGTTATGTTAGACTATCTTTGAAAATGAAGAGTGTAAAGGCCTACTTATTATCATTACCACTAGGCGTCGTGTTTTCTCAAATGCATCTAAATACCAAGTGAAAAAAAATAAATAGAAGTTCTGAAAACATAAATCATGACATTTAAAGTAGGATTCTTATTCGTCAGTTCTACTGACAAGTTCTCGAGTAGTACATCCGTGACGAAACACACTTGTAGCACATTTTAAAAAGTAATTCATCACCTCCTTCTTTCTCCACTCGAAGCGTATTTTCTACGTGACATCAACGACACATGTGTATGGACAAAATATGAACTACTACATAAGCGCCAAGCGGAGAAAATAAACAACACACTGTCATCATACTTATCATCATGCGTCACCTACATCGTATCTGTGAACAATAAACTTTGTCAAATTAAAATAATCCCTTTCGCGCGTTTTTTTCTTGTTTTTAGTTTTTGTTTTCTAGTTTTTTTTTCAGACTTAGAATAAAAACAGGAAATAATGTTAGTTGTTTGTGTGATGAACTCTACACAATTTTTTCAGCTTTCACATTTATATCCTTCTTCGATGATGGCACGTGCTTCTCGCATTTGATCCACGATAGATATATACGTTGTAATATCAGCAAATATGCACATTTCTTTTACAATATAATATTTATTATATATATACATATATATATATATTATATATATATATACGACTTGTATGATGTTTTAAAGATATTATTAAATACAAAAGAATTAATTATCTTAGCATTATTTATTTTATTACATAAACAATAGTTGAACTATAAAAATATTGGCAATATATATATATATATATATATATATATATATATATATATATATATGTATATATATGTTGCCAATATTTATATATATATATAAAGACAATTTTATTGAATACAAGAAAAATACAGTTTTCATTTAATTTTTCAAAATAATAATTAATTCTTTTGATGGATTTTATAAACAATCGATGAAAATAAATAATAGAAACATTAATTTAATTAGTTTTAATTGAAACTTTGTTCTTATAAAATTCAGGATTTGTTCTCATCACTTTTCTAATTGGAATATTATTATTAAAAGCAGCCATCCAATCTTTTGAATATTTTACATCTACTAATATAGCTAAAACTTGATTAAGAGTAAGACTTTTAGTAGATCCAGTGTTCCAGCGTAAATATCTATCTATTGGTAGTTTCTCCATGCTTATACCTTCTTTTTTAGCTTTTGCTAAGGAATAAGGTTGAGGAGACATCTAAAAAAAAAAAAAAAAGAGAAAAACAAGAACAAAATATAAATTAAATGATTCAAAAAAACTCGTGTTATAAAATATCTTACCTTATCCACTAGTGCTCCAATAATATAAATTTTGTCAGGATTGTAAAATGTCATTTCTTTGTTACAATGCGGTGTTAGATATACTAAATCATTTTTATCAAAAATATCAAGATAAGACTTAGAAGTTATATTTAATGGAAAACTTCTGTCATAAACACTTGGTACTAAACTATGAAACTTTGTCAAAATTTTATTATCCTGTGGTGCATTACAAAAATAAAGGTCAGCTGGATTTTTATGCCAACGATTATAAACAAAACTGAGTAATAATTGTTTGGCACAATTCATTATTTCGTAATTTGTCATTAAATTATCATATCCGCAATCAAACACTATTTTTGGCTCAAACATTGAAGATATTGATAGATTGAAATTTAAAAAGGAATCTAATGATTTTTCATAAATTCGCATAAATAAAGAATTATGTGCAAGACCATATTTTAAACCACTATGACATTCTTCTTCTTGTTTTTTCATTTCTAAACGTGCTGCTTCCATCTTTTGTTCATGTTTTTGTCTATTGTTTTCTCTTTTCTTTTCATTTATAAAGAGAAATCGAAAATGTTTCCTATAAATAACATATAATGTTAAATTCTAAATTCCAAATGAAGTAACCATTAAGCATTAAAAAAGTTCTATTATATATAAATTTATATAATAATAATGTTTAATATAAAATATAATTGAAGAGATATTAGAACTAATGAATATTTGAAATCCTAAAATAAACATAATTATTGAATATTACTCAATTACCTTTGATGTGTCTTAGATGAATTTAACAAATATATATAATCTTTCGGTCGTAACGTTTGAGGGACTGTTTGGGTTGTTTCTCGCAAATATTCATATTCATATTGTAACAATTTATACTTTTTATTCATATCAGGATTTTGTAATAGTTGTTGTAATATCTTCTCATCCTTCTCATCTATATCTGATTTTGATTTTTTTTCATAAAAACTTTCAGCAAAATTACGTTTTATGAAATGTGTTGGTATTTGGATTTTACTAAGGTTAGTATTAAATGACGAAGATAAAATAACAACTGATTGTAATTTTTTAAATAAAACTATGCTATTTTTAAGACCGAAATTATACATTATATAAACTTTAATATAAATATTATTTTAAATCACTTTTAATTAATTATTTCTTTAAATTAAAATAAACTAGATGCTTATTTAACTTGTTTGCTGATATACTTTACTTATATCATAGAATAAATACATAAATCTAGTGGTTCAACGCTTGGCTCAAAATTTGTCCGCCGTAAACGTGAAATCATCATTATCGACGTAATTAATTTCTTTGAATTTCTCATAAATATTTATAAATATTTCTAATTTGAAAGTTAGGATATGTGTTGCGTACAAACGTACATACATATATATATTTATATATAACTTCATATTTTTTTTATTCATACAAAATTTATATATACATAAACATATATATATATATATATATATGTATATATGAATTACTAAGAAACGAAAAAGTAAAAAATGTCTGCTACTCTCTATTTGAATGAAATCATTCGTATCGCACAAGGTTCAAGAATGAGCTGTAGCTTTAGCGCGAAGACTGTTTACGTCGACACTTGTATATACTGTCATAATATTTAAATGAGCGTTGTTAGTAAATCGGTGGTAGATCGTGAATGTCATGATACCTCATGATGAAACAAAATTTGAAGTTGTACCAATAAATAATAATAATTCTACAGGAAAAAATGAATCTGTCATTTTTGTTGAACAATTTGTTAAAGATGTGTGCGACTTTAGTTCTCAGTATGGTAGCAATATCAGTATTTCCTATACAGCATACAATGTTGCTGGAAACCCAAGTAAATTCCCTGATTATGGAGACTTTCCACAAGCCTTTGTCATGGTATGTTAAACTAAAGATCTTAATCATGTTTGAGTGGCATTGAAAATTTTTATATTTTATATTAAAAGAACTATGTTAATTGTTTATTATCAGCAATGTTACATTTATTTTAATCTTATAAATGTAATCATTAATAATTTTAGAGAACGTATGGACCATGGTGGAATAAAGCACCTTCAAGGTTAAGTGATTACATGATACAGAATAATGAAAGTGTAATTAGCCAAGATTATATTGGTATGTAAAGTATGAAAAAGAAAGATTAGATATTTGTATATTTGATACATAGATTATAAAGTAATATACTTTTTGTTATATGAAGATGTTGAATATTATCAAGAGGTATATCCTATACGAATATCAATATATGAAACCTATAATCCAGGCAGTGTAGTTGGTATATGGGTACAAAATCCTTGTGGGCAATGGTTTCAGTTATGGAATGGACCACCTCAATTTGTACCTCAGAGACCACGCATATTTTCACCACCTTTAAAGACTTGTCATTTTAAAACAAAAATGGTTAGATTAGAATTTAATCATGACTTATTGGATTACTATACAGAATTGGATGCTGTACTTCTCATTGGGACATCTGAATTGATAATGCCTCGCAATCATATGTACCATCAAAATTTAAGTAATTTGTTACAAGAGTTAGGCTGTAATGGATATAATGAGGATATATATAATTTAACACCTGATTATTTGAAAGCTAATCAAGATTTGACTATACTTAAAAAAATGTTTCATAAATACTGCATTCTCTATAACAGGTAGAAAATATTCATTTTATATACAATATTATCATTTTTCTTAAGAACTAATGTATGTATATATATATATATATATATATTTATGTATAAATTTACAGCAGAATAATGGATAATATATCTAAAGGCAAGTTAGTTACTACATTAGAACAACATTGCCATTCCGTACCACCTATAGAAGAGGCATTTAATAGTTTACAAGAATTTTTACAGGAAGAGTTCCCTAAACTTATACGAGAGATGCATCTTTCTTCATCCTCTCCAATATGTAGGATATCTTTACCAAATGACAAGAACATATTGTCAACTTTAAATAACTTTGATAGTCGACCATGTGGTAGTTTTTCTGCACTTCCAGTAAAGTATTTGACCTTTATATTCTATTTTTCTTTATCATTGTTTATATATTTATTATACTGATTTATAGGATGAAACAGTTCTAAAAATTTTAAGAAATCTAGATTTAAAGACACTTTGTCGTTTATGCAGAGTAAACCGACATTTTAGTAATATAGCAAGAGATGCTCTTCTCTACACAAGTCTGAATTTGAAACCATATTGGTATTGCCTGAATGATCACGCACTAAAACATTTAATTCCAAGGTGTCAATACTTACAACGTTTAGATTTATCATGGTGTGGTAATTATAACATGATTAGTGACAAAGATCTTGTAGATTTTATTCATTCTTGTGGTAGTCTTCTGACACATCTACGTTTAAATTGTTGTCGCTCTATTAATGATATAGTAATTCTTGAAGTTTCAAGAATTTGTAAAAACTTAAAAGGTATGCCTTTAAACTCTTCAATATATAAATTTTTTATATACCATAAATTTTGTTTACATTTTTTTTTTTTAGAATTATGCTTGCGTAATTGTATGGGTATTACAAATGATGGATTTTCAAAGTTGGAGAAACTACAGTGCCTTGAACGCCTGGAACTTTATGGAACTGCAATCGAAACTTCTATTTTGTGTTCAATTTTAAGAAGAAATCCTCAAATGAGACATTTAAATTTAGCTGGAATGCATGATCGTTTAAATGTAGATGAAGTAGCAATTGAATTAGGAAACTCTTGTCTACAATTGGAAAGCGTAGACTTTTGGAAAGCACAAACTCTCACACCACATGGTGTAAGAGCCCTTGCTCGATGTATTAACCTTCGAGAGGTTGATTTTGGATGGTGGTATGTGTTATTAGATTAAACATTATTTAGCTATTTAAAAAAAAAACGAATCACAATACGATTACATATTATGTTTATAGTGGTGGAATGGGTGCTCCTGGTGATTCATTAAGGGCATTATTATCTTCTTGTCGTTATTTAGAAAAAGTATTTTTGGCTGCATTAAGAGGATTAACAGATAGAGATTTAGAGCCATTGTTACTCTGCCAACGTTTGCAACAATTAGATTTGTTAGGAGCACGTTCCCTCACTCCCGACATGTGTTATGGATTTTTATTATGGTGCCCTAAATTGGAAATGATTGATCTTAGTTTTTGCGAAGGTATCACAGATTCAAAAATTCAAGAATGGCGACGAAAGTATCCACATATATCATTCAAAAGAAGTTTTCAAGCTAATGGAACGGATTTATTATAAAGTGTTTCTCTGTATTCAAAATCCAATTTCTTAAAAGTTCAAACAAATTCAGAAAGTTAAATATTTCTGATTGTAAGACTGGAATTTATTAGAAAGATACAATTATAACTATGCAAATAAATTGATGCATTGCAAGAATGCATCTTAATTCTATTTGCATTATTTCTTAATAAAACTAAATGGACATTGTATAATAGATTTGTACATTTAATATTTGTATAAAATAATATACAAAACAATATAATTTTTTTATTCTCACAAACCTATTTTTATATAATTATTAATAAAGTATTTAATTCGATAAAAGCCGATTAGTTCGATAAAATTTAATGTAAATTGTGTAATGAATACTTTTTGTAACGTGCCAAAGAATTGATATATTTTATGTAATAAAAAAAATTACGATTTTTAAAAAATTAATAAATCAATTAATTGATTCTAATATTATAAGCATTGATAAAGTTAGCAAGAGTCTTCCCTTTGAGTATTCTTCTTCTGATCCTTTTTATAAAACTGACTTATTTTATGTTACTTCTACAATATTTATTATGTTATGATTTTGATCATTTATTATTTGTGTAATAGAATGTAAACACACTCTTCTTTCATATCTTCATAATGATTGGTAGTTTGTAATATTTCAAGAATTATTTTTTTGTCACTAGGAATTTCATTATTACTTTGAAACGATCCAATTGTCGAGTTCGAAAAGTTACTAATAGATATAAAATATAAACAACATGAGACGTATAGGTTAAACGCAAATTTATTTAAATAATTTGAAATGTACACACTTTTACACGGTTTATATAAGTACTTAGTACAAAAAGATGAATATTTTATATTAATACTTGGACTTGATAATGCAGGAAAAACTGTGCGTGTAAAATGAACGATTTTTTTTAAGGTTATATGTCACTCCGTTTTCTTATGGAATTATCTATTTTATTTTGTTTATTTTTTTATTTTAGACGTATTTAGAAGCGGCTAAAACTAAATTTACAAAAAATTATAAAGGTATGAATCCAAGTAAAATAACAACAACCGTTGGATTGAATATTGGAAAAATTGATATCGCTGGAATTCGTTTTAATTTTTGGGATCTTGGAGGACAAGAAGAACTTCAGTCATTATGGGATAAAGTATATAATTATTAATATTATTTTCTAAGTTATATAAACATTAAATAAATTGTTTAATTACGCAGTATTACGCCGAATCACATGCAGTAATTTATATTGTTGATTCATCGGATCGTGATAGGATACCAGATTCTAAAGAAACCTTTGGTAAGTTTCTGATGTATGAAATATATTATAAATATCATTATTATATTGTAATAATATTTTTAATTATCATATCAGAATATATGATTTAAAAGATTTCAATATTATTTGATATTATAGATAGAGTAATATCGTCTGAACATTTGAGAGGAGTACCTCTCTTAGTTTTAGCCAATAAGCAGGATGTTCCAGATTGCATGGGTGTTAGAGAAGTCAAACCAATATTTAATCAAAATGCACATTTAATTGGACGAAGGGATTGTATGGTAATGCCTGTATCAGCCCTTAATGGGTACGTTTAAGTTACTTTCTATTCGTTTCTTTCTTTTTTTTTGTCTTCTTTTCTATACTATGCCGTTATTTTTTACAGTCTATAATATAAAAAATAAATATTGACTAGTATTATGTAAAAAAATAATAAAATTATAATCTATGAATTTTGTGATAAAGAGATGGCGTAGATGAAGGCATCCATTGGCTTGTAGACTGTGTAAAAAGGAATAGCGACATTCGCCCTCCTCGAAGTCAAGATGATAGTTGTTTATCATAATCACAACATTCCTATTTAATTGTTAACTATATATCGCAGACAATATTACAAATCTTTTTTCGTATATGTTATGTTTGTATAAATAAAATAACATTTTTTTAAAAATACAGATATTTTTTTATTAAATTTATTTTTGAACTATAATAACAATATTTCTGGCAATAAAAATTATCAATTTTGTATTTGACAGTATTTTTTTAATTCCTTTTCATTCATAACTCGATTTAATAAAATTTATAGTCGGTCCTTAAAAATACTCGAACGACTAACCTGGTTGGTACTGATATCGAGATAATAATGGAGATAAGAGATAATGCCAACACTTCGTCCGACATTGTATTATAATGGTGATAAAAGTGTACAAAACTGGTTGTGCAGCTGTATTTTGTATGATATATAGCTAATATTTTAGTGTCACATTTCAACTAGAAAACAATTTTTTTTTTGAATTTTCTTTTTGAGTATCATGTGGCCTTATTATGAAACCGAAGACTGGAGCGTTTTACCTCCTGAATTCAATCGAAGGTACGTCTATTTATATTAATGTACAGTCAATCAGTATAAATTTAATACTTAAAATTCACGTTATATCACTTTTTAAATTTTTTCTAAATATATACAGTCAAATAAAATAACTTGAAAAAATATATTCAAAAATCCTATTACATTTTATTATGTCTAATCTCAAAAAAAAAAATCTTATTAAAAATCATATGTATTATCGATGTAACATTTTTATTATTTTTCGATTGAAAAAAAAAAAAAACATATTATTATTATTATTATTTAGATATTTTTCAATCGAGTAACAATCATGGTATACATATTGTTTTCTAATCTTTGACTAATATATACATTCATACAAGAAATTCTTAACAAAGAATAAACATATACGTATCCATGTACGATTGTGCAATGACACTTATACAATCGCATCGTATAATCAATTGTAAATCGTTCAGCAATTTCGTTCGATAGATGATAAATAAGATAATAATAAACGCGATTATCTTATCATGGAAAAGTATGAGTTAACTATACATTCAAATGTGCAAATTTTACGCGGGATCTGTAGTATTCTGATCATGATATCAGATAGTAAAGTTGTGTCGTTACACTTGATTCAAAACGATAAAGCTTTAAAAGTAATAATTATTAAAAAGAAGGAGGAATAATAAAAGAAAATAAAAAGGGAAATTAAGATAAAGTTTATCATTTGTGAAAGACGACATCATTTGTAAAAATAATATCAACGAAAATATTATCAAATGACGTTGTGTTTGACACGCAATCAAAAAATACAAATATAGAGAGTCTATTATATATTATAGGGGGGAGAGATCAACGTAGATGACAACTACTCCGCCATTTTGATTCTCCTCATACGACTAGAGCGCGCGTAGTGCGGGCGATCTTTCGTCGTGTGCTCTACAGGCTGTTCGCCCGTAGAGACGTACGATTATGAACGACGATTTACGGACCTCGATTATAAACTAAATATTGTTTATCGAAAAGGAAAATTCGTGTAAAATTTACGATACTACCAAGTGAATAACCGTGTACGGTGATTACGATAAGAGAGAAAATATATATACATATATGTGTGTGTGTGTGTGTGTGAGTGTGTGAGGTAGATAGATAGAAATAGAGAGAGTGAGTGAGAGAAAGAGAGAGAGAGAGAGAGAGAGAGAGAAAGAGAGAGAGAGAGAGAAAGAAAATCAGGCGCGGCGCACTGTATGCGAAGTGTGTACGAGGGCGCCCGATTCGTGATATCCTACCTGGGAGGCGAGGCATTTCTCTCGCCGTTTTGTCATATACGGAGTTTGCTGCGTGTAGAAAAGTGGCCGACACGACAGCAAACTCGAGGACGCGCGTCTCCGTGTCGTTTCGTTTTCGTACGACGCTTGATCGTGGTTGTGAGAGAACTTATTTCCAGAGTTCATCGTCGATCGGGTACCGTTTTTGACAGTTTCAGAAAGGGGAGGACAAGAAAGAGTGTATACGTGTGCGTGTGCATGAGAGAGAGAGAAAGAGAGAGAATGAGAAAGAAATAGAGAATGAGAGAGAAATAGAGAATGAGAGAAAGAGAGAGAGAGAGAGAGAGATGCATGGATGGATAGATATAAAGAGAAAGAGAGAGAGAGAGAGAGAGAGAGAGAGAGAGAGAGAGAGAGAGAGAGAGAGAGAGTAAGAATGCAACTTAACCCTTTGCCATCGCTGCAGACCTTAATAAATGAGAGGACTATTTTTTTTATGTAACCGGTTTATAAGTACACGTTTTTCAATATGCTGCCAACCTTTGCATCGAGCACGCTTTCGTGGTCAATAGACACGTGAAATTGCGATCGAATAACGTTCAAGGACTCCGATAGTCGATTCCAAGTAACGCGTTTCCTCTTTAGATCGTTTTTCGTGTCGTTTGCCTCCGTGAAACCGGTTATCTTATGTTTACGATACACTTGTCATTTTAATTATATGTAATAGTGGATTTTCAAATCGATTTTTTCTTATCTTTTTCCGTCTGTGTTTTGCGATATGACAGTGTTGTAAGGCTCGATTTTTTTTTCTTTTCTTTTTCTTTTTCTTTTTCTTTTTTTTTTAGAAGAAATTTTATTGCTATAAATATTTAATGATTTAACTCTTATAAATTTTGTAATCGATTGTTTCTTTTTCTTTTTCCTCTTTTTTCTTTTTTTTTTTTTTTTTTTTTTTTTTGTTCTAATATCATTTTTTGTGCCGTATGTGCATATCAAAATATCACATGGAAAGATATTATAGGAGAGAAATATTAATTCTTTACTGATATATTTTATAAAGCTATTTTTTAAATAACTTTTATATACATACAGTTATTTAAGAAAGTATTATTACTTATATATAATTTAAAATTGTTATTGTTATGGTTTTAAACGAATGAATCATATGATTATGGTTGCGAGAGTTTTAGTAGTACATATGATGTTTTCATACGTGTAAACTAATGGTTTTTAATGTCATCCATGTTTTACATTTAATTTTGATAAATTTGAATTAGTGTTTTTTGTTTTGTTTTGGCTGTGCTTGTGATTTTATTCATTAATATTTCTATTTTTAATTTAAAACAAGTTATGGTTGTCATGCTCCATAATATGACTATCGTGTGTCCAATAGGAGGAGAGCAACGTACGTGTACCCTAATCATCACCAATTCATTTTTACTAGTGACGTCTTTCGATTAAATTTCAAAACCAGCCTGTGAAACCATGAATGCCTCAGAACATGGGTAATGTTCCATTTCTAAATCTTCGATAAATGATTTATATTTTTAAGAATTTTAAATTACTTCTTTAAAATTTAATATAATTGGCAATATATACTGTCATAATTGGTACATTTTAAATATCAAAAGCTGTTTTTAAAAGACAGCAAGAGATGGGCTTGTTCTTGAAATTAAATAAATGAGTACAAGTGTCATTGCACAAACAGAAGGTGGACAATAACATTTGTGTGCATATAGTAGGCTGCGTGTGTATTCTTTCAGGTTTAACCCAGCCTTTAACATGGCTTCCATAAAACAAGCTTTCAATGAGGCAGTAGAGAGAGGTAAGTATTAAATTTATATTTACAATGCTTAAGTATATGCATTCAATTTAAAATATTAACTTTATACTTTGCTTATAAGAGGAAGCTTTAAATCATACATTTTTTTTTGATAAGCTGTAATTGCTTTGCTGATGAAGAAATATGATATTCCAAATTATTTTCCTAATTATGTTTGTGTATATTTACATTTATAATTTTATAATTTAGATAAAACGTTCCCCTTATATTTTTTTCTTCTTCCTATGGGTATACGTTTTTTTTGCATACATGCTTATTATATGCAATGCTTATTCATTGTGGTATTTCATGAGAATGACTATCATATCATCATTGCACTTTAACTCATCATAGAGCTGCTAACACAATGCACTGATGTTACATCTATAATTTAAAAGTTTCAACAGTTAGAATGCCGGCACCAACAAGATTGAGAGACCTAATCAGACAAATAAGAGCAGCTCGAACGGCAGCGGAAGAAAGGACAGTAGTAAACAAGGAATGTGCTTATATTCGTTCAACATTTAGAGAAGAGGATAGTGTTTGGAGATGTCGTAACATCGCAAAACTTTTATACATTCACATGCTTGGGTCAGTAATAAACATTTGTTTCTTTTCCTTTATTTTTTCTGTTTTTCTTTTTTTTGTTTTGTTTTTTGTGTGACAAGATTTACCTATCATACAAAAGATTATTTTAATAACGTTATAAATTATATTTTTAGATATCCAGCACATTTTGGACAATTAGAATGTTTGAAACTTATTGCATCACCCAGGTTCACAGATAAACGTATAGGCTATTTGGGAGCAATGTTACTACTAGATGAACGACAAGATGTTCATTTATTAATAACAAATTGTTTAAAAACGTGAGAACTTTCACATTAAAATAAGACATATTCTATTTATATACAAGATTATAATACTTATTACTGAGTATTAATTTTTTTCATATAGTGATTTAAATAGTTCTACACAGTTCGTAATTGGTTTGGCCCTTTGTACATTGGGTGCTATTGCATCGCCAGAAATGGCAAGGGACCTTGCTTCTGAAGTTGAAAGACTGATGAAATCACCGAATGCATATATTAGAAAAAAAGCTGCATTATGTGCTTTTAGAATTATTAGACGGGTACCAGAATTAATGGAAATGTTCTTACCTGCTACACGAAGTTTAATTACAGAAAAAAATCATGGAGTGTTAATAACTGGCGTTACTCTTATTACTGAAATGTGTGAAAATAGTATTGATACATTGAACCATTTCAAGAAGGTATGTTTATATTCCTAAATATAGACATTACATTCCTAGATATTCTAGAAATATGATGTAGTATAAATGATTAGAAAGAAATAACAATAAGTCAGCTATTAGATACATTTTAGAAAATATAACATTTTTTTTATATATTAATGAACGTTGTTAGAGTAAAATTCACATAAAATTTTTAATGGAAACACTTTCACAATGGAAAAGAATGCAGTCTCATGTTTCAAATAATAAAGATTAAAGTTACAAAAATTTTTATCAATAATTTCATTATATTCGTAAAAAAAATTGTATAATTATGTTATTTTATATATGTATATATATGAGTTAAATTTTCCAAATTGCTTTTATACATTATAATCATCATAATATAAATATCGTTTTATTTTCTTCAGGAATGCGGCCATCGAGAGGTAAAAGCCATATAAGTGTTTAATGTATACTTGCATGTTATGCTTCATACACAGACTTCATTCTTTTCTTTTACTTTACATGGGATTATAGTTATTAATTAGGAGGTTTAAGGTTCTGTTATGCTGCTTGCAATTATACTATTGATTATAAATCAGTCTATATTTAATATATATCTAAATATGTTTTCTTACTATTTCAAATATATATTTTTCATTATTTTCTGGATGAAGCTGTAGGTACACATGTATCTTGTTACTTGCTTTCTAAATATATATATATAATATTTAGCTGGTTAAGGTGGCGCATTTTAAAACCTGAGAAATTTAAATAATAACAATTATTATTTGGGAAATATAATCCATTGCTATACCAAAAATACAACTCAGGGTTATTCTGAAGTTTATCAAGAATTTGTTTCTCGATCTTCTGGTTGAAATTTAAATATAAGGATTAATATATTCATGTATTTTTAAGTATCAATAAGAGCATGTTACAAACTATTGTTAAATTATTTTTGTTGTTATATATAGTACTATATAGTATATTTATTATTGTTCTCTTTTATTCTTTATAAGCATTAACAACTGAAATATAAATACTTATACTATATTCTTCTACTTGCACTTTTTTTTTTAATGTGCTTTATTGTTTTGTTGCATCAAGGATAAGTTTTGATTTTTAAAGAACTATGCTATTATTTCAGATTGTGCCAAATCTAGTGAGAATTCTGAAAAATTTAATACTAGCTGGATATTCTCCTGAGCATGATGTATCCGGAGTATCTGATCCATTTTTGCAAGTGAAAATTTTACGTCTTCTTAGAATTTTGGGACGTAACGATGTGGACGCATCCGAGGCAATGAATGATATTCTTGCACAAGTTGCTACAAATACAGAAACCAGTAAAAATGTTGGCAATACAATATTATATGAAACTGTTCTCTCAATAATGGACATTAAATCTGAAAGTGGACTTAGAGTATTAGCGGTTAATATCCTAGGCCGATTTTTATTAAACAATGATAAAAATATTCGTTATGTTGCATTAAATACATTATTGAAAACAGTTTATGTGGATACAAGTGCAGTTCAGAGGCATCGTTCAACAATATTGGTAAGATCATTAAATGATTAATAGAACAATAATAATAATAATAATAATAATAATAATAATAATAATAATAATAAAATCTCTTGAATTATCTCGCACTTTATCATGTATTTTATTTTTTTATTACAGGAATGTTTAAAAGATCCAGATGTATCAATAAGAAGGAGAGCAATGGAACTGAGTTTTGCGCTTGTTAATTCAAGTAATATTAGAAATATGATGAAAGAATTATTGCTCTTTCTAGAACGTGCAGATCCTGAATTCAAAGCCCAATGTAGTAGCAATATAGTAATGTCTGCGGAAAGATTTGCACCTAATAAACGTTGGCATTTGGAAACATTATTTAAAGTCCTTGTTGCTGTGCGTACACTGTAATAATTATAAATTTATTAATAGAAATTTCAACTCTGATTATGTAGAAAATAATGTAACGGAATAGTTATTAAATTTTTTTTTTATGTATCATAGGCTGGCAATTATGTACGAGATGATGTAGTAGCTTGTACAATTCAATTAATCTCAGAGACGCAATCACAACAAGGTTATGCTGTTAGTGCATTATGGCGTGCATTAGAAAAGGATACATCAGATAAACAACCTTTGGCTCAAGTAGCAACGTGGTGTATTGGAGAATATGGTGATCTTTTACTTTATGGTCCACCATTGGAGGATGCAGATGCACCAATAAACGTTAGCTAGATAACCATATTTTTAAATTGATAATAGATACATTTAAAACTGTTTCACACTGATCGATTTTTATATATTATAGTTAACAGAAGATGAAATTATTGATGTTTATCAAAGATTATTATGGAGTCCACAAAACACAGTTGTTACAAAACAATATACTTTGTTATCCCTTACAAAATTAAGTACAAGATTTCAAAAAGGAAATGAGTAAGTATTATCTTTGTAAAATTTTCTTTACATTTTTACATGATAATATTTTCATATTCATATAATTTAGATAAACCGGCAAGATTACTGATATAAATCGATATATTATATATTTTTTTATTTTACAGAAAAATTCGGCAGATTATAGATACGTTTGGTAGTAATTTACATATTGAGCTGCAACAAAGAGGCATTGAATTTTCACAGTTGTTTAGAAAATATGATCATTTACGACCTGCATTGCTTGAGAGAATGCCTCCAATGGAGACAGCAAGGCCACAAGCAAATGGTATTATTGGTATGGTGAATGGCGAGCCAGAGCAAGAAGATGAAAAATCAGTAGTATTGGAAACATCTGTTACCCCATCTGATTCAGTATGTATCAAATGGATATCATATAGAAGGTGTTAATAAATTATTGATAAAAATATAATTTATCTTTTACAGAGTGCACTTTTGGATTTGCTCGGAAGTACCGACGTTGGGATGACAATGCCAATAGTTACAACTAAAAATCCACCTCCTCCTGCAACAAGTATAAATAACAACGATCTTTTAGATTTACTTGGTAGTTTGGATATGAATACAGGGGCACCACCTTTAGTATTACCCCAACAATCACAATTAACAACACAGATATTTAATCCTACGAATACGACAAACTTTTTGGTAGATGGCCTACTTAATTCTTCAGCGCAAATTGGTTTGTATTCGTACAAAGAAATATTATCATTCATGATTAATGTAAATGAATATCTAAATTGAATTTATATATAATTATAGAAACTCCAAGTATGATTGTTTTGGATAAATCTGGACTTAAAATAACTTTTAAAATGGAAAGACCGCCAGATATTACAGACTTATTAATTATAAATATGACAGCACATAATTCTACGAATAGTGCATTAAGTGAATTTTTATTTCAAGCCGCAGTTCCTAGGGTAAAAATTAAACTTTATATATATTATCGTTTATATATTACTTTCGTATGTAATAAAATAAATAATGAAAAAATATTTTACATTTTTTAGACATTCCAACTACAGATGCTGCCACCATCAAGTACAGTTATTCCTCCATCAGGCGAAGTTACTCAAGTAATAAGAGTTACAAATATCAATAACGTAAGTTGTTCTTTTTTATATTTATTAATGTCAATTTTTAGAAATATTCAAGTTACTTAGGTATTATCGTAAATATAAATATATATATGTAGAAATAGCTTTTTTGTATATAAAAAGAATGCGTTTTTTCTTGTATAATTATATCTATTAGTTATATATAACTATATATTTGATAATAATTTGTTGAAACTTATTCTGTGTAACTAGGTACCATTAAGAATGAGACTACGAATTTCTTATACTGGATCAGCAGGGCCAATTTTAGAACAAACAGAAGTAAATAATTTTCCCTCATTGGTATCACAGTGACATCTTACAATACAAAAAACAATTGTACATATGCCTGCCTAATAATTAATTAAGTCTGATATAGACCATACACAACCTCTTTATTTTTGAGGTAAAGTGAACATATGCGTTGACAAAAATGTACCAAACATTTCTTTTTATCCATTGAATGATTAATGAACATCAAGCACGTGTAGTGCGAATAGAGTTTATTTTATGGCATGTGCATATCGATATTAATTTTTCTTATTGGAAAAGGACATCCCACCTGCTCACAGGCACAACCCTGTGTTCAATACTAAGCAATATCATAATTATTTCACTTATGTACAGATTACTTATGTATATTACACATTATTAGATATTGTTCGAAATTGTATGTAATATTCTTAAGTTTTCTCTTCTTAAGTATTTTAAAGTATATCATTGGTAGAAGAGCTGTTATAAGTCGAGATAGTTATTGAATATTTTTTTGGTTATATCATTGATATGCATGCATCATACACTTGTAGATAATCAACCTAAAAAAAAAAAAACACAAAAAAAAAAAATATAAAAAAGACATTAAAATGATGCTTGCTTGAGCAGGTGATACAATATTAATTTCGACAGTTTACAGAGGAACGTCGAGCGTAATCGGTAATAAATGAATAAAGCGGAAAATATGAAAAATAATGTAAAATATCATTCGTATTATGGTGCATGTCTATAAAAAAAAAAAAAAAAAAAAATATATCATTGTAAATATTTTCTCTACCAGGACATAATAAGGTAGGAAAATAATATTGGATACAACACTACTCTGTTAATTTGTTAAATTTATGATATTATTATGTCTCTTCATTTAGTTTGCATATCTTAAAGTATTTGGTAAAAATAATAGAATCTCTCCGATCTATCTCTTAATAGTATGAATGAATTATGATTCTCTTAAAAGTGTTGTTGTCCTGTTACTATAATGAACAATTAACCCTTGCTGTAATAATTGATCTTTTCTACTATATTTGTAACAAATGAAAAAACTCGATTGCCTTGTAAATAATAGATAGGTGCAGTCATATAGAAGTGATGAGATTCTTATACAGATGAAATACAAAATGGAATTCTTACAAAATATGAATATAATACAATTATTAGGATTATATTATAGTATTCACTTTTTTGATGTTTTATTTAAAAAAATTTTTGTTGCGATTATACACACGTGGTTGAATATATGCGTTACAATATCCCTCATTTGCTAATAATGTCAGGGATGCAGTGTTTATACAAATTCGAGTGTATTTAGAATATATAGTAACATTGGAGGGCTGAATTCTGGTTGTTATATAACATTGGTTTGATTGCAAACATTTAATTGCTCTATATGGGGGACATAAGTTATTAAAATCACACAATCATAATTTATTGAAACTAAAGAAGAAAAAAAAATCGTTGTTTTTAACAATTAAAATAAAGTTATATACAAAATTTGATTTATAATTGTAAAAACTATATTTAACACTTACAAAGTGATTAAAATCAATGGAATATGAGGAATTGATGACAGTATATAAGAAGTTTTATATGTTGCAAATATGTAATTATTTAACACGTGTAAAAATGTAGTTTAACCGGAATTAATCATGCTCTCGTATGATAGACAAATTAGTTTGCACTATTGAAATTTTTAAATAATTCATTTTGGGTCTGCCTTTTAAAATTATAATATAATTTAAGAATTCATCTGTCAACAATTCACAATATGAGATAACAACTAAAAAATGATAAAAATTTGTTTATACATTTGCACAAAACACATTACATTCCTTATCTAATTTATTCAAATTGTAAAGTTTAGCACTTTGTAATTTAAAAAAAAAACTGGGTATTTATCAATGTCTTCAAAGAATGTATGAAGAAAATTAATCTATTCAAGTAATTTTAGAGGGGGTCTAATTTTTATTTTTTTATCTGTATAAAATATGCTTGCTATAAAATAAAAAGTGCAAGGTCTATAAAAATGTATGATACCTACTTAGGTAATGGCAGTGTGGCAGACAAAAATAATTTCGTACATTAAAAAGATTATTTTTCAGTCTTTTATACATGTAAACTAACAGAAAAATAATGTACTTAATTTTATTAAATTAAATTTAATGTTAGCATGTTACAGTATAGTTTTGTAAGTTTAATAGGCTTAATACATATAGTTAAAAATTTAGCACATCCTTAGTTGATTTTAGTGGAAGGCTTTTTTGATCATGCCAGATTTTCATTAGCATTATGAAATATTGTTAGATATGTTATTAGTATAATTGTACGCGCATTTTAGCTCCGTCCCTTTATATGTTGTGCGATATGAATGTTTGGAGTGCGAAAGCAGAACAGGTGGGTGTGTTTCTGAGTGGCCTTGTCCTAAAGTCTGTGACACAGTATCAGCCCTTCAGTGGGGTGTGCTCTGCCTACTTGTTCTCAATGCTATATTAGTTTTATAAATATGATTATAAATAAATATAAATATGAATATAAATATAAATATAAATATAAATATAAATATATATACATATATATATATATATATATATATATATATATATATATGTGTATGTATATATATATAAATCAATTGTGAAGATATTGGGTAATGATAAAGATGCTGTATATATACTTTCTAGCAAATCAAGGTGTGAAAATAAAATGTATTTTTATTCCACTAAGTCTTTAAAGTATACGTTTCGTATGTTTGTTTTGAAAATTATCTAATTAGAAAGATTATTGAAGAAATAATTACACTTCCTCTATATTTTCTGTAAGTTACATATCATTTTATGTGATAAGAAGATATGAAAAACTAAAACTTGAAAACAGAAAAGTTGTGTATGTAACAAGTATTAATTATAACACACATTGCTTTTATTACAAATACATTTGTTTGGCTTACTTAAAAATTAACTTATTATGAATTAATATAATTGAATAGTGTTCAATGAGAATCTGTCATATTTTTCCCAACTTGATTAAATAATTTGTCTTTAATAATTTGTGCCATTAAACCATGTATAACTTCAATTGTAGTTTTAGAACTATCACGTGTTGCTTTGATAAGTTTTTCAACTGTACTACGATCGTGTGGATCTGTTCCACCTAAAACAAATCCTCGTCCAAGTGCAACTTCCGATTGTTCTAATTTATCAGACAAATCAAATATTTGACCTGTAGTATAATCTGCATTTGTCAATAGACTAGAAGAACTAAGAGTGTTCACCCAATATTTATTCCATAGAGAATCCAACAATCGTTTATCCAATAATGATTTAAAATATGATACTTCTAAAGAATAATATTGTTTACAATGAACACCAAAGTCTTCAATTTTATTTAAAGGTATTGTTTGATATTCTGATGGTTCCTCATTAGCTGGTTTATATCCCTAAATTAAAAATATATTGATATAAATGCATTATTATAAAATACATTAGAATTCATGATTCCATATAATTTTTGCTACACACCTTTGGATAAGTCCTAAATGCTCCTAAGCAAACTTTACCCGCGGAAATAGTTCGTACAGGATCAATTACAATAGCAACAAATGGTTCTTGAAAATTTTGGTTAAGCATTTGCGTAGAAACATCAATACCTGACAACCAACATCCATATCCTGGATGACTATGATACCAGCCAATAGCATTTTCTTGTCTACCAACCTAGAAAAATATTTTAATATATTAGACAAAATATTAGTACCTAATGTAAATGAACGAAAAAATGTTCTCTCAATTTTACTTGTTTTGCAGCTTCTATATATGCAGTCATGTATTCATATGCCTGAGCTTGGGCATTAACTCTTGTTTCTGTCCCTTCAACAGGTAATGCAAAAGAATCCATAACTATCATTGTATTTGCTGCTACCTTTCCAAGCAGAAGGCCCATTACTTCTAATGTTCCACCAGAACGTGCATGCATTACCATTTTTAACAATGCCAATGCTGAGATTTTTATATCTTTGAAAAAATGAGGACTATATTGAGAAAATTCAATAGATTAGTAACATTAAATATGATTCCTATTTATTACAGTCTTCTAAAGATAATAATACTAAAAATATCTATATTAGACATACTCTTTCTCCCATGGCTTAGCCGCTAAAATATCTTGTTGTTCTTGTCTATCATATCTGTAGATTTCATCAACTGCGTTAATTGTTTCAACATTATTTGACATCTCCCAAGTCTTTTGCGCAATAATAGTTTGATCACTGGACGTACTAGCCATTTTTGTTTTCACAAGTAATAGACTATCAAACTATAATTAAAGCAATTAATTATTTTTCACAATTCATTAAAAAATTATCATTAGATTTCATATCTAATTAAATTAATCAAATTTATTATATAATATAAACTATTAGATATTTGTAACAATTTTACTATATAATTAAAATTATAAAATTAATATATATATAAATTTAAAACAATTTACACATATAAATTTCATTACAGTTTATAAGATCTTCTCAATAATAATAAACAATTACTTTTAAATATAACTTAACCTAAACCAAATGCATAGAAATTTTTAACACGAATAAATACACTAACATAAGTTTTCAATTACAAAATAAAATAATTTTCGTATTTCAATGAAAGCTTTTCTTAAATTTACCAACAATAACTTATTTAATAATCTGAATATTATTAAATGAAAAATATAAGTAAAAACAGATTTACTTTAAATACAAGAGCTTCTATCGACATCTATCTACTGTCTACGTCTAGATGTCGTATTTAAATAGTTCTTTAGCAATGATAAAAGTTATTGTCAATAATAATTACAAATTTCACGAACATTTACGAACTCATAAAAATATTATTTAATTATTTTTAGGTCTTAAAACATACCAGAAGTGTAATTATAATAAACGTAAAGTATCCTTTATATTACAAATCATTTTTTATTTTTATATATAATTATTTAAATATAAAAGAGAATATTTGAAATCATGTAGCATCCTAAAAATAATTACAAAATAATTACAACTTATTGTGTAACAAGAAAATTTATAAATATTTACGATAATTCTATAATTATTCAAATAATCTATAATGTACACGCAGTACAATAAATTAATATTTCATCAATAGTACATTCGTTTAAACATTGCAAAAATCGTAACGCGCGAGAAACTTAAAATAATATTAATTAAAAATTTCAATACTTAAAAATTTGTATCTCAAGGCTTTGTGTAATCTAAACATAAACGTACTTTTTCTTATCTTTGGCAATCATCGAGTTAGCTTTTAGTTTGCACTTCGACGCATGAGCATAGAACTCTCTCTTCTTAAATGTGAACATTTATAAATTAATATTTTCGATAATTTTTTAATAATTTCTAAAGTCTAATATACGTGAAATACAATAAATTTATATTGAAATAGTAGTATATTCGTTTAAAAATTAAAAAGAGATTAAACATTAAATTACTAACCCTTTACATTTTCTAGTAATACTTCCACAAATAAATAGATTGGATATAATAAAATTCTATGGGGAAATATTAAATATATGAATTTGTGATTAAAATCAAGTTTATCGATTATTTGATCGAAAATAATAATTAGTGAATATAAACTTAAATATTATATAGTATTTTTATAAAAGTCAAAATATTAGTTTGTTTTTAAACTGTCTATGAAGTAAAACTCTTTTCCTCTTACTAGATTATATTTTTTCGTGATTTCTCCTGTAAAAGTACTGTAATAATTTTCTTTATCTTATATTGTTACTATAGTAATAATATATAATATATAAAATAAATAAATATAGTTATTATTTACGTAAGAAACGCGTGATTAATTAAGACGATATTTCTTTATCGTTCGTTCAAACTAAACTGAGCCTCGTTGCGGACGATCATAGCGACGGTGCTGCCACCATGATAATACGCCCAAATACTAAATGCTTATTGGACGATTTTCTTTCATTACTATACTTAACTACTCTCAAGTATTATCTCGCTTATCTTTCTCATGTAATACATTATGTATATTTAATAATAATATTAATAAATTCTTATATATATATATATATAATATATACAATTTCATATTATTTCGTATATGAAAATTAATAAAACTGTACAATAACGTAAATTATATGTGTATATATATATATAAAATAATATAATATATATTTGTATATATATATATATATATATATATATATATATATATATATAGCTGATGAAACTTTCGAAATTTACTACTAGATAGTGCTTTCATCATCGCAGATTTTGACTCGATGTATTGTTTCTCTTTAATTTGCTTCAATGTCGTCTTTATACACTCTATGAACAAAACTGACCTGTACGTTTGTGATAGTTTTATAAACATTTTGCACGCGAGTAGTAATAAATTATTAAATTATATTTACATTATATTTATGAAAGAATTTTTAAGAGTTATTGAAAACGGAATCGATACCACACGACGTGAGAGGTTGTTCAAGCCAAATATAGATATGGCATTAATTAGAAGAGCAACTCATGCTGGTAGTTGGTACTCAGATTCTGGTAAGTGTCATTCCAAATTATTGTTTATTTAATAAAAATAACATTTGCATGACAATATAGAAATATTTCTTTTCTTCAATTTTTATGTCATGTAAATTTCATTATTCTATGAAGAGTAATGCTATATTCAATTTTGAAAGTAATACTGTATTCAAAATATGTTTAAAAATATGATGAAATTTTAATGAAACAGGAATATATGAATCATGAGTTATAAATACTAAGTAGAATTTTAGTGAACATTAGTAGTTTTGTCAATAGAATGGAGATTTTGGCAAGATGAAACAATGCCTGAAATTCTAAGGCTGTATGCAGTTCACTTAAATGTTACAAGCAAGTGCAATATTTTTTAAATGTTTCTTTGTTATCGTATAACATCGTTTGAAATCGTTTGATTTATTCTTAAGAGAATGAAAATCATTATTAAAATATTTTTTTAAATACTTAAAAAAGAAAAAATTAAAAAATCTTTTATTAAATACTTTTATTAAAGTAATAGATCAAAGATTTATCCTAAGCTCGATCATATATTATAAATGTCAAATTAAATGAATTTAAACATTGTTTTTTATAGAACTTAGATTTATTTGTTAAATAAAAGGATTATTAAATAGTGATTTAATAATTTTGATGCACTAATGCAGGTTCAAGGATTATAATCGTTTCAAACGTTACGAAACTCTAACATCCAGGAGAAATGATAAAATGCTACACAATCTGTATAATTATAAAATTATATGGAAAGAATATTATCCATACACAAATCTTTATATATTTCTGAAAAAGAAAGTCCTAAAAGATAATCCCAAAATCTGAATTAGCAATATATGCTGTAGGTTCAGAATTGAATAAGCAACTAGAAGGTTGGCTGGGTGCAGCAGACCTATCTCATGGACCTGCTAGGGCAATCATTGCCCCGTTAGTAACTATAGAATATTATTTCATTAGAATTTTCATTGATTTATCTTTAATGTCAATTGAATTTTTTCAGACACGCAGGCTATAGCTATTGTGGAGGATGTGCTGGTTTTGCATATCGTCAAATTAGTCCAGTAGTTGTGTAAGTTTAATATTTAATCTATCAATTATATAATTATATAAATAAAATATTAATTACAAGATATATAAAATGAGTAATATGTTTTTATGCAGTCGCAAGATATTTATTCTAGGCCCATCTCATTATGTGAGATTGCCAGGATGTGCCCTCTCTTCTGCTTCCATTTATCGAACACCATTATATGATTTACATATTGATCAACAAGGTATAATTTAAAAAATGTATTATAATCATTAACTATTAACTATTATAAAATGTTTATAAAATCAAATCATATTTCTCATTGATTTTTATTCTTTGCATTGTACGATAGTACGGAGAGAACTTGAAGAGACAGGACAGTTTGAATGGATGGATTTGAATACGGATGAAGAGGAACACAGTATCGAAATGCAGTTACCATTTCTAGCTAAAGTTATGGAAGGGTGTGTATAATCAAAGATGTTATATTATAATATATCTTTTGTTGAAAATAGTATGTTTATAATGTAATATTATATATATATTTTGTGATTTAATTTTATTGTTACAGATTTAAAGATTCGTTTACTATAATTCCCATTTTAGTGGGATCTTTAACTCCAGAAAGAGAAGCTCTTTATGGAAGATTACTAGCACCTTACTTGGCTGATCCTCAAACATTATTTGTTGTTTCCTCAGATTTTTGTCATTGGGGACAAAGATTTCGATATACATACTATGATAGATCATGTGGCCCAATTCACAGATCTATCCAAAATCTTGACAAGATGGTAGGTATTAATGTTATTTATAAAGATCAAACATTATTAAATATTTTCCAATCTTAAATAATATCACTTAATTCGCTTCATGTTGTGTTTAGGGTATGGATATAATAGAAACATTAAATCCTACGATGTTTACGGATTATCTTAAAAAATATGGCAATACCATATGTGGCCGTCATCCAATTGGTGTTTTGTTACAGGTAATATATTAAAATTAATTTTTATATTGAAGGATATTAAATTCTTTTTTGTTTTTTTTTTATTTATTTATTTATTTATTTATTTATTTTTTTTTTTTTTTTTTTTTTTTAATATTTAGACATTAAATTTAAAAATAATAAGTTATTAATATAATATCTTAATTTCAGGCAATACACAGTTTAAAAGGAAATACTAATGGTCAAAAAATGAATTTAAAATTTTTAAAATATGCTCAAAGTAGTCAATGCAATAACATGAATGATAGCTCAGTTAGTTATGCAAGTGCTTCCTTAGTTCTTGAGTGATGTTATACATTATTTCTTTATGATCAATAACATCCGAGAGTAAAGACATTTGATGAATGTGGTAACTAAATTTAATAAGGATATCAGTCATATTGTAAAAAGTCCAACTATATGAACCATAGGTTAAGATAAAAAAAAAAAAAAAAAAAAGAAGAAAAATGAACAAAAAAAAAAAGAAGAAAAAAAATATTATGGCTGGTACTATTAATCACAAATATGAAAGAGTTACCCTGTGTGCAAAAGAAACTATTTGATTGTTACAACGCAAATGAATGTATACTACTAACAATGTCAAAATGTTTTGTATAAGTGCATTTTCTTTTAATACTTACAAATCGTATTCAGTACTTCCATAATTATTGCAATAAAGGAAGGAGCTTAAGTATTTCTTTGCTTTGGTTGGAAATACAGCCATGTGTAGTTAATTATATAATTATATAATACATAATTTATACATGTATGAAGAGTAAGTATAGCTACTGACAATGAAGAGAAAAATCTTTCACTTTTTGCCTTTAATATTTTACTATTTTAAGCCAGATGTTCAAATTTTACACACAGGTCATATTTTTTTAAAGAGCTTCTATAAAATAATAATTAGATAATAATTTCTTTTTTCGATTAAGATGAAATTCCTACGATTATAAAAAAAAAAAAAGAAAAAAGAAAAAAGAAAAAAAGGAAAAAGAAAAAAAAAATAAAGAAATTGAAATAAAAATCTATATTACAGAGATATTTAATATAAATTTTGATAAAAGATTAAGTAAAAATCTAAGAGTAAAGATCTAGTCATTTTCAGTCACTATTTTCAATGTTTAAAAATAACTGAATAAAAATGTTCGAAGAGAGAGACTAGTCAACATTTTATTTATTAAATGATTATCAAAAACAAAATATATCTCTTCTATGTCATTAGTAAAGGTGCATATTCTGTGTTACTTCATATATTATTATATGAAAAGAACTGGTATTAACGAACTCCCAGAAAACTTAATACATGTTATATAGTTTTTCAAAACAAAGCAATGGAATGATCTCATATCCTTCCTATCCCATATTTTATTATTTAAGCAAATATGATGACACAAACAGAGTAATTCTTACTTTACTACTCGTTATATAATATATTATAAGAAGGAAAAACGAGGTCGACAAAAAAGCAGTGTTTTGTAACATATAGTTTTTAAATATTCATTTATATAGGTTTATTTTTTATACTCTTACAAACTTCTTTGTATAATTATAAAAATGAAAAAATGTTCTTTAATATTATTGTTTAGTATGTGAACTCACAAAACTCTGCTTAATAATAAAATAGAACATAATGAATAACAACAAAGTAACTTGTTATCTGTAAGACTTCCATAGGAATATATCTATGGAATTGTAAAAGTGATCCTGTACATGTTGCTTTTTCTATCTTTATATACTAAGAATAATAATGTTTATATTTGTATGAAGAATCTGGATTAATCTACACATGTTGTTTCATAGCTGTCTAATAAAATTAAGTCAAGAAAAATATATATTTTTTTTTGTGTTCATAGATACCTAATATATTACAAAGCTGTACAATATATATATACAAAGTATTGTATGAAATAAATTTACCATCTTTTACTAAATCTAATACATTATATCTCATTATTTTTTCTTTCTTTTTAAGAATTTTGTCTTTAAGATATTATATTTACTTGTATATCATATTGTTGATCCAGGCCAATATAGCAATCAGAAATTAAATAAAATGTCAATTTCATTGGCCCTAAAACATAAAAATAATAATATTAAAGTAATAAGTGATCAAGCAAGGATAAAAATTATTAATACATCTGATAATAAAATTAACATTTACCTGTACTATAAGGAGCTTTAAACTGTAATTGATAAATTCTATGTTGATTGTTAACACCGTTAACTCTTTTCAAGGCCCATAATTCCCGTTGTGAAATATCACCTAACACTAAAAACCAGCCTTCATCTTTTCCCTTTTGAAACATGGGACAATGTGCCCTTAATGTATCCGAGTGATTTTTTCTTTTCATCCCAATGACTAATGTGTAATCTTGATCTTGATGAAGGTCAATAACATGATTATAGTTTGTTTGTAATGGTATTTTTTTTTCTGTACCATCCTCCCAATTCCCATGTAACATTAAGTCGATACACAGCATTGGCATTTGTTTGATAACTTGATGTATCTAACAATAAAAATTTGAAATAGAGTTAATAAAGTTTAAATAGAATAGGAAAGAGGAAAAAATATATGAATCTAAATGTATAATATAAATTTACCTGATGTATCTGTTCCTCATGAAATTCTTTACTTAAAGCCTTGGTAAGTCGATTATAATTATTAATCGTAGTAGCACATAATACTGGAAGAGGTGCCGGCAAAGAAGAGAATAAAGGCAAATGTTCCTTATTTATATGAGGTAAAGTAATGACTGCAGGCTCATCGATCCATCTAGCTTGTATTATCATTTGTAACAATTGCATTATTCTAAGTGTACTTGCTAACCAACCCTTCTCTGCTGCGATATCTATCATCGCCTGAGAATGACAATGTATAATAATTAAAAAAATATTATTTATCTAAATATTTTCTTTTACTGTTTCCGATACATACTTGAATTATCCTAATAGCTTGATCAAGGACTGATTTTAAATCAGTAATATAATCCGTGCATGGAAGTGGAAGTCGAGAAAAATGTGCTTGAAGCAAAAGATAAGCCTTTGTATTAGGAGAATCATATGTATATTGATCAACTTGATAGCGGCACATTTTTGCCAAATCCCTGTTAAATATGTTTAATTAGTTATATTCCTATTGTGTAAAAAATAACATGTATTATACTACATTTATACGTACTCATTCAGTAATTCTTCATTGTGTCTAACTGGAAGTTCATTATATTCACATGAATTACATAAGATTTTCAAATATTCATGTAATGCAAGATCTTCTATTAATGCTTGTTGGAACATTAACATAGTAAGATGTGATAAGTAATAAAAGGATGCTATTTTGCCCATTGAAAGAGGAAATAGAATATTATCTTCCTACAATCAAATAACAATCAAATTGATTCAAATGATGTGGACATGAATGAAGTAACATAAAAAATATGAACATCAATACTTACTTCATTGTAATCTATACAATGTGAATCTAATAATACTTTCACTGTGGTGTCCACTAAAGTTGACAAATATTGATTAATTGTAAGAGGTTCTAAAGTATCCAAATTATAATATTTTGGATTTTTCATTAATCTTCTGAAGAAATATGTCCATGTTAAATAATCAAGAAATTCTTGCTTATTTTTTATTGTTCCAGCTACGATTTCAGCATTTATATGGTCTGGCAATACTGCTAACAAACTGGACTCAACAGGGAATGGTTCATACAAAAATTTCTTGTAAAAATTTTTCTTTAAATCGTGTACGAGGACAACAGCTACACCCGAATCATCAAATTGAGGTCTTCCAGCTCTTCCCATCATTTGTAACACATCCGTTATTGGCATATCCACATATCGTTTTGTTTTACCATCATAATATTCCGTTCCTTTTATTACAACCAAATGAGCAGGAAAATTAACACCCCAGGCCAATGTTGCTGTCGTAATTAATACCTGTATTTTATTATTGACAAATAATTCTTCAACTGTTTGCCTATCTTTATCATGTAATCCGGCGTGGTGAAGGCCAATTCCAAAAGCAAGAGTAAGCTTTAAATTTGAATCCTTAATATTTTCTAAAATATTTTCCATTTCTTCTTCAGGCATATGTAACCACTGTTTAGGATTATCTTCTGCTGCAAGATAAGCAATCAAATCTAATGCGGTTAAACGCGTTTGCCTACGGGAAGATACAAAAACAAGGGATGGACTAGAAGGTGCATGATGTCTTATTGCTTGAAAAGTTGGTCTATTCATTGTTGCCATACGTGGGCAATAATGTTTGCCTGGAAATCCATTAATATGAACCTCTAATGGTACAGGCCTAACAGACGAGCGAAAATTGTAAAGACCCATTTCTTTTATTCCCAGCCAGTTAGCTAGATCAATTGCATTGGCCAATGCCGTAGAAAGGCCGACAATTCTCAATTTCCTTGAAGTATGAGAAGAAATAAAATTTGTTCTTGAAACAATGACTTCCAATACTGGTCCACGGTCTTCTCCTAATAAATGAATTTCATCTATAACTATCAATCCTACTTTCTGAACATAACTTCTTGTTTGCCAGCTTCTACTAATGCCATCCCATTTTTCAGGAGTCGTGATTATGACGCTAGCATTTGCAATAATTTTGATGTCAGGAGTTATGTCCCCTGTTAATTCTACCACTTTTTTCCCCAGCTGTTCTTCAAGCCTTACTTTCCAATCATGCATTCTCTCTCGAACCAAAGCTTTCAATGGTGCAATGTATACAACTTTTTGACCAGGATATTGTTTAAAAACTCTAAACATAGCTATTTCTGCAGCAATTGTTTTACCGGAACCCGTTGGTGCTCCAAGGAGAACATTGTTATCCGTGTGATAGAGACAATGAAATATTTGTGTTTGAATTGGATTAAAGTGAGAAAATCTATATAATTTTTCGAAAGATGAGTCTTTCAGTGCTGTTACAGATAATGGTCGTAATTCTAATAAAACGGTATGCGGTGGATGAATATCTGGTAAAATTAAATCATGAAATGTTAAAGACAACATATTCTCACATCCAAGCCAATGATCGCTCGTTGCTTTTACCAAATATTGATTAGGCAATGGCTCACACAATGGTATAGTCATTACAATTTCTTGTTCAAGATTTTTACAAACCATTTTTTTGGTCAAAATAAAATACTCATGATGATATATATAATTATTGTCTGGATCTTCAATCCATATCCAAAATGCTTCAGAATTTTTTCCATGAACTGCATCATTCCATCGAAACTGAGGAGTAATTTGTAAGCGTATTCTTAAAATGGTACGCGTAATAGGTTGTAAGATAGATTCCATTTTCAGTGCTGGAAACTCGCTACAGCATTTTTTCACTAATGCAGCTACTTTTTGATTATTCAAAATGATTCCAATTTCCTTAACATCCATATCTATTAATTTATTTATTGTAATATCTCGTTCTTCTATTTTCTTAATAATTTCTGCTGATATACAAGAAAATTGCCGTAACGGACTCATATAATCCCATTGTTGCAGTTCAAGCATTCTTGCCATCTCTAATAAACGGCTTGCCATTATTGCATTATTTTGTCTTAGCATAATTTCAAATAATGCTCTGCATATACGCACAGCATTTTGCGTGATATATGCTAAATCTGATGTCAAAGAAAATGATTCAACCCATCCTCTTGATAGATAAGTTTGTATCAAAATATTTACTTTGCCATAAATATTTTCTGCTCCGCCTTTCGGTACAACTTCACAGAATTCTTGACACAAATGTTCTAATTCTTCAATCTCATCATCCCTCACTTTAAGTTGTTCAAATTCTTGGGAACGTGATATCATTGCAAGTATATCTGCTTCGGTCATGACATTCTCTGATAATTCATTAAAAATCTCAACTGTATCATATTTAAGATAATAATGACTTGCAATACGTCCTAAATCTGTAGTGTGAACATCACCAGTTTGTATACTATATCGAATCATTTTAGCTTTATCCAGTGCTTTTGCTGCTGCATCAATTAATTCTTTTCGTTTTTGTTCCAAGTTCGGATCGTCTACAATAGTTGAATATGATATACCATATTGCAAACAATTTAACTTCATTCGTACAAAAAGATATGTGTAACTTAACCATTCAACAGCTTCCTCTACATTCGATATTGTTCCCAATGCAATCTCTGCATTTAAATTATCCGCTAGATAAGTTATAAAACTACTTTCGATCGGTATCTGATTAGTTAGAAGCGACAAATAATGTGATAATTTATTATGAGTCGTAATTATGACAGCATGACCAGATGTGTCAAATTGTGGTCTACCGGCACGACCAAAAATTTGCAAAACATCAAGTATACTTAAATCAATATAAGTACCATGTTTAGAATCATATATTTCTGTTCCTCTTATAATGACAGCATGTGCAGGTAAATTTACACCCCAGGCAAGGGTAGACGTACAAACCAATACTTTTATTAAGCCTTTAGAAAAATATTTTTCAACCAGATTTCTATCTGAACGTAACATGCCTGCATGATGAACTGATAACCCACTGTTAAACAAATCAGAAAGGTATTTATTTCGTGATTTACTGAATGCTTTACCTGCAAGTTTTTCTTGCTCCTTTGATAAGAATAATTTTTGTGTTTCATTTTTTATTGCTAAGTTTCTGATTACAGTGGCCGTTCTAACGGTGGCATTACGAGCATGTACAAAGACCATAACTTGATGTCCTTCACGAACCATATCAATAACTTTATCGTAACATACTTCATCCATATGTCCTATTTGTACAATTGGTCTCTGTGCTTTTATTCCAATGAATGTTTGACTCAAAGGAACAGGACGAAATCGATGATCAAAATAAAACAAACCTTTGTAAGGATTTACTCTCAGAAATCTTGCAACATCCACATAATTTGGTAATGTTGCTGAAAGTCCAACTATACGAATCATACTTTGGGATGTCTCTACTTGTCTCAATGTTCTAGCAACTATTGCTTCAACTACAGGGCCTCTATCGCCGTGCAGTAAATGAACTTCATCTATAATCAGTAGCTTCACAATACTTGTAAGAGCAATATCTCTTGTACCTTTCCTTGTTACAATATCCCATTTTTCAGGGGTTGTTACTATCATATGAGTTTGTTGAATCTCTAGTTTTGTTAATTGCATATCACCAGTCAATTCACGTACAGATATACCGAGACGATTTAGTCTTTTGCTAAAATTAGCAGTCATTTCTGCTGCTAATGCTTTCATTGGCGCTATATAAATAATTTTGAATTGATTTTGTGTAACATCTTGTGTCATATGTTGCCTTATTTCATGAATTATACTTAACATGGCAACATTAGTTTTACCTGCTCCGGTGGGAGCACAAATTAATAAATTTTCATTTGTGTTATATGCTACATTAAATACTATACTTTGTATTCGATTTAATGATGTTATGCCAGTAAAAGCAATTTGTCCAATTTCATCCAAAGAAGAAATCATAACAGGATCAATTTGAATATCAATGGTTTGTAAATTTGGAATAGGTATATGAATTTCTTCTCCTAATTGTGTGTTTTTTATCTGTACATTTTCTGGTAACATAACTTTTTGTCCTGAAATTAAGCCTGCCGAACTTTCAATAATTGCTTTAGAATCAAATACAAATGGAAAGTTTTCTCTTCTTTCTGAAACTACATTTCTTTTGGGAAAAATCGGAGTAGCCATTGCTGTTAATGCTTCTTTTCTTTTTAAACGTAATTCGATTGGATCAATCATAATGTCTTCTTCATCATTTTTTCCATCTCTTTTACTCGAAATCTTATTAAATTTCTTTTCTTCTTTACGCACTTGCTTCAGCAATTGTTTCTCTTCTTCAGATTGTACGGTTACTTTACCACTAATCACCGGTCCTTGAGCGGATTGTAGTGGCTTTAATGGTTTTTGTGTACCATAAAAACTTATGATAGTCTTTTTATGCTCAATAATATACTGTATGAATTCAATGTGTTCATAACCTAATAAATCGAATAATTCATTTTCAATGTTTTCAGAATTTACCAATTTCGATACTATTACTAAACCAAAATTGTCCAAAGTCATTTCTGTTGAATATTTCTTATAACAATTTTTTAAACCTTTTATAAATACTGACTTGTTAAATTGCAATGAATACTGAAATAACAATTACAGATATAAATTTTATAGATTTATCTTAACATTTAATAAATAATTTAATATTTATTTTACATAAAATATATTAAAAATACCTCATCTTTGTTTGGTTGAGGAACTTTTGTTTCATAAGCCATGGTAAATGATTCAGTATGTTGTCCTAAATTTGTCATATTACGAAGCCTACCAGTATCAGGCCAAAGTACTTTTGCTGAATTATAAGAAAGTTTTGATCCAAAATAATTCATCTTAGGACTATTAGAATTTGAAGTCTTGTTGGTTAATTTAATCAAATGTGTAAGTGTATCTTGATCTAATTTTTCACGAATATCTCCAATTATCTAATCATAAATAAATAAATGATTTGAATTGTCATATTTTAAAAAATTATATCAAATTATAAAAGCAACAGAAATAAAAAAATACTGATAATATATAAAGAATTATACCTGCATAATATTATCTATATCTTTTTTTGTTAAATTACTCGCCAAATGACGTAAAAGTTCCAATTGTTTTTGAGATATACAATCTGAATCTATCAGTAGACACAGAGTAAATAAAGCAAATTCATTAATAACATCAGCCGTTTGATTATCTATAAAAAGAAAAGCAGATAGATAAATGTAATCGGTTTAATTTATGATATAATTAATGGATTTAAATTATTAAAATTTATTACTTACTAAAAATCTTCTTAGCAATGTTATGTAATTTATTAAGTGAAGGTAAGATTATGTCTGGGGCAGTTTTACATATTTCAAACCAATTTGAACCGCTGTAACTATAAAAGTATAAAAATATTATATATATATATATATATATACTTATATATATATATATATATATATATATATATATATACTTATACACATAGATATATATACTTATATACATAAATTTTATCTTACTTTTTTAATTTATTCGTTTGTTCTTCTCGCTTTTTTATTAAATCATTAGGAGCAAGATCTAATAATTTTTTTGTACGATCCAAATTAGTGAACATTCGCAATGTACGTGTGATACGTGGTAATTCAGGCATCTTGATTTCTTAGATAGTAGAGAATCAAAACTGTAAATTATAGAAAGAAAACAATTAATATACCTTTGATTTATGAATAGTTCATTGAAATATTAATCAATTAAAGTCATACAACAAAAATAATTTGCTTTTTAACTGCCAAATAAAACAAAAGAAATGAATATGAGGTTTTATAAAGTATTAAAAAACAATAAACTATCAAAAATCAAATTAAGTCTTAAAATATTGAAATTATATCAGATTAATTATATCGAAGATATATATGTATGAACATATAATTTGTAATATATGAGTTTAAAAGAAAAAATTTACGCGTATATTTCATATGCATAAATAATTTGAATTTTTTTACTTGGAAATGATATGCCGATGTTTTAAAAAAATTTCATGAAATAATGTTAGGTACGTTCCCGACAAGAATAAAACGTTTACCACGATTGAAACGTTCTCAAACGAAGATTTATAGAATATAAAATAAATATTTCATTTTGTGAAGAATTAAATATTAACAATTTTCTTCAAAAATAATCGGATCTTACAAATGCGAAACGTTGTGCAATATGTTGAAAATTCAGTTCACTTGTCACCAGTTAAAGTTACCGGGATTCCTACCTCTCCGCTGATAAAGATTTTTAAATAAAAAAACATAGTATTATTGAGTTATATTTAGATATTTAAAAAAAAAAACAATCTATACTGGCTTTATAATTACACTTGTTTAACGCTATTATAATCGAAGTGATTCGAAGGGAATTAATTATTGGATTGACATTAAGACAAATTTTTATGAAATTGTAGCGATCATTTTGCGACTGTTACGCCTCTTCTGGCTAGACACATAACTAACATGCCTCAGCGCCACCAAACACACACGTGGGAAATCAATCAAACAAAATGGAGAGACAATAAAGACGCCGAAAACAAAGGAGAAAACAATGACGCTGGGAACAAAAAAGAAATCATTCATTCTTTCTTTGCTTTTTTTTTTGAGTCTACAGCCATAGTTGCTGATTTGATTACTGTGTACCTGAGTTAGTTAAAGTTAAATAAATATATCACAATTATTATTTAATGTGCAAAGTTTCTTTCTTCATAGTAGATTGTTTAACCCATAAATTCTATCAATCAGAGACATCTACGATAAACATATAGAAATTTTGCAATTACAGAGTGCCAATACAGAGCCATCTATAATAAGTTTCATAAAATTCCTCCTAAACAAAGTTGTCAAACATAATTTTAAATATGATTTCATTTGTTCCAGTTATTGGTGGTAGATATGAAGATAATAATATAAATTTTTTCTGTTAATCCGCGATAAAGATAAAGATAATAATCTACATTTTTCGAAATGGATTTTAAAAGTTCACACGTTACATATTTCGTATGTGGTTCCCCTAAGTTACCTTTCGTGACAGATTGGTTATTAAAAAAAGTATATATATAAAATGATACTAGATTTACGTATCGTTTTTATATTTTTAATAACAAATATCGTTTGTTTCGCATATGATTGTTTCTTACAAAATGATAATTATAGATGCAGACTAGGATCAAAAACCCCTTACAGATTTATAGGTTATCAACATGATACACCTATCGAATATTCAGGTATATATATATATTTTTTCTTTAATTAATTGATAGTAATTAATAATATGTTCAATATGTACTTTATTTTGTGTTTTATTTCTTTCAGGATGTAAACCAAAAAAGATTTGGTTGATCTTAAGACATGGCACAAGATATCCTGGAAAGAAAAATGTACCTCATATGATAAAGAATTTGCCAGAATTGCAGAAAATTATATTAAATAATTATAAAATGAATAAAACCAATTTATCTCATGATACTATAATTAAATTAAGTAATTGGAAGTTAAGATTCACAAAGAATGATATGATGAATCTTGCAAAGGAAGGAGAGAATGAAATGATCGATCTTGGTGAGAGATATCAATCTAGATTTCCTAATATTATGCCAGAAATATATAATAAAAGAACTTATAAGGTATTCATATTATATACTATATATATTTTTTACTTCTACAAGTTATATTTAATATATTATATATTCAATTATATCATTTATAGCTCAAATATACTGCAACACAAAGAACCGAAGAAAGTGCTAAACACTTTGCTGTTGGTTTATTTGGTTGGCAAAATAGTCAAAATGTTGAATATCCTAAACCAAAGCATAAAGATCCTATTCTAAGGGTAATTTTAATTATAGAATATATATATCTATATATATATATATATTTCCCTTATTGGGTGTAGATATAAAAAACATTTCACTTCATTTTTTAGTTTTATAAACGTTGTACTCGTTGGAGTAATGAAGTTTCGAAAAATAAATCTGCGCACATTGAGAAAGAAAGATTTTTGAAAAGTGAACTTTTGACAACTACAGTGAAAAGTGTTTCAAAAAGAATCGGTCATCAAATCAATTATGGTTTGCATTTAATCATTACTGTGTTACGGTTCTATTATTTTCTAATATTCATTCTTAATGTTCAATAGATATCATTGATTTAATTGTACTTTTGTGAAATGTTTGTGATAATAATTTTTTAAATTGGCTATATATATTTATTTTGAATAGCACGATAATTTAGATGAAAAATATTACAAATTTGATGTTTCAGACACTTTAGATTTGATTTATGCTATGTGTGCCTTTGAAACTGCATGGTACAAGGATGAAGATTCACCTTGGTGCGAATTATTATCATTGGATGATTTCAAGGTATAAACAATAGAATGCATATTTATAATTTATATTAATATAATTTTTTTAAGAACATATTAATATAAATATAAATATTCGTAGGTTCTTGAATTTGCAAATGATATAGAATATTATTGGATCGATGGATATGGATACAAGATCACTTATGAACAAGCATGTGTAGTTTTGTTGGATATTTTTAACTTCTTCTCGTAAGAATTATATATAAAATATAATATCAGTATTATTTTATATAATATTTTATAATTGATATCATTATTTAAAGGGAAGACAACGAAAGATTAGCATCAATATATTTTACGCATTCTGGAACTATCCTTAAGTTTTTAGCAAGATTAGGAGTAGCACGGGATAAAATTCCATTAACGCACGATTCATTTCGATTACACGTAGATAATAGAGCTTGGAGAACAACGTACATCGATGCTTTTGCATCAAACATAGCTTTTGTTTTGTACGAGTAAGTATGACTCCGTCATAATCATTCTCGTATTCTTCATACATATAAAAACAATCTCATTTATTTTAGTTGTGAATCACAAGGACCTAGTATTCTTTTTATGCATCAAGAACGTGTTGTATATTTGCCAAATTGTCCAAAGAATATGCCATGTCCATTGTCAACAATGAAAGATTTATATCCGAGTAACGAGGAAGATTGTCAATTTGATGTTATGTGTAATTTGTATGAAAACGACACGTCATATATCGATGAAGACGACATATGATGGCGTCATTCGGACGGACTCGGATAATAATTAGAATTTTAAAAAGAAATTTTATTCCTATACGTATAAATAAAAGCAAATTTTAATCGGCATCTCTCGTATCAAGTTCTTCTTAATTTCCAATTATAGCCTTTGAGTTGGTTTTATTGTAAAATTACGCTTTTGCAATGTGTAGGATAGGGTAAGTAAATAAAAAAGAAAAAAAAAATAAATAAAGAGAAAAAAGAAAGAAAGAAAAAAGGAAAAAAAAGAGCAAATAAGAAAAAAAAAAGAGAAGAGAAGGAAAAAGAAAAAAAGGAAGCAGCGAAGCATTTGATAAGGGTATAGGAGCCAGTACACGCGAAGCCAGTGATTTGCGGGTGATCCCATGGGTCCGAGAGACGTACTGGCCGATAAAATAAATCGTTGTTCTCTCCCGAGAATGAAAGGCAGGAGGACAAGGTTTGGCCTCGTGGATACCTCGAACAATATCGTTAGTATATTCGTGCTTTGCCGCGTTTGCTCGGAAACGCGGTACCACAGTTCTCAGTTCTTGGATGAACGGAATTTATGATACGCCGCACATTTATATTCCCACGCCTCCCATAAATTTTACTTTACGCGCGTGTAAGTGGCTCCACTTTTGTTCATAGATTCCTACGACTGTCAGATTTATGTCCTCGTACGTGCTAGGATTCGATGCTTCCTCGAAGGAACACATAGACGTTCTTCAGGATGGTAAGCAGTTCAACCCTTGGCCATCGAATAAGAGCGGGAAGGGAAAGGAATGGAGATGATGGTGAATGAGATGGGGAGGTAGAAGGAGACGACAAGGAAAGAAGTTAATGTTCCGAGTGATAATAAAAAAAAAAACGCTCGTTTACGTGAATTCCCGTTCATTTTTTTTTTTTTCGTTCTTTTTCTTCAAGCATAATTCGGGCCCCTCATTAAAATAAAAAAAAATAAAAAAAGAAATTATCCTTAACGTGAGAATTACAAGACGTTGGCTAGTTATTAAAGGGCATAAGAAGTAAATTATTTTGCATTTGTTTACGCAGAGTAATAAATAAAATTGGTGATATTTTTTTAATTATTTTCTTTTCTTTTTCCCTTTTACCTTTTTTTTTTTCTTTTTTTTTTTTCCATTTTCCGAGTTAGAACGAGCAAGACTCATAAGATCTCGTGACATTCTATCAAAAGTGTATAATCAAAGAGTCGATTTCATTTACTACAAATTCGTGGGCTCGAGAAGAGAAGAAAAAGAAAAGAAAAAAAAATGTAGGAGTGGTCTCTCATTAGAGAAGAGTTTTCTAGAAAAAGTAAAGGGTTTCGAACGATAATACGAAAGGAGAAATTATTTTAATACTGCGACATTACGTGCACGACCCAATTTTGCAAAATTAAATTCCCTTACGTAGTACGTAGGTGAAGCCACGTGGTAACCGCATTCACGGAATGCTTTGACGTAGATGACGAAGCATCCAAAGTGCCAGAGCACATGAGGATAGGAGGAAGGGAAGGGGTTAAGGATGGGGGGACGGAGAAAAGATAAATAGGGGAAAACATCTAATTAATAAAAAAAGGATTATTAAACTCGAAAGAAAGTTTGTTGAAAATTGCGAATTCGTTTTTTCTTTTTTTCTTTTGCCTTCATCGACAAAGGACACGAGAGAAGTCGATTTTGTCGGTTCGTAAGATTTGTTTCGGGATAATTTTGACGAAGAAAAGACGAGAGAAAGAGAAAGGAAAGAAAAAAGAAAAAAAATAAAAAAAGAAGGAACGATCATACGTTCGTTCCTTCCTTTTCTTTTTCTTGTACATTTTCTTTTTTCTTTTCCCTTATTTTTTTTTCTTTCTTTTTTTTCTTTTTTTTTTTTTTTTTTTTTTTTTTTTACAATAGTTTCTTTCATCCAATTTCGGAAGATAATCGAACTAAGTAAAACCGATAAGTTTCTGACAATTCGATTGGCTTATCGTCGATGAAATTTGCTTGGACGCATTCGGAGGCCGACCATAAATGCCTTCGACTCGAACGAGCAGCCGTTTATCTCGCGTGACGGAGCTCAAAATGCATATTGCATCCGGCGTTAATGCATAGAATAGAGAGGGGCAGGGGAGGGGAGGGGGTGGGTGGTGAGATAATCGATATGGTGCTCGGCAACGCTCTTGTTGATCTTGTTGTTTCGTGAAGAGTCGCTTAGAGAGAGAGAGAGAGAGAGAGAGAGAGAGAGAGAGAGAGAGAGAGAGAGAGAGAGAGAGAAAGAGAGAGAGAGAGAGAGCACAAAGTCGAACGGACTAATAAACGAGATTAAAAATGAGCGATTGTTCTCTATTCCTATCGTTTCCTTTCGTTGGATTTCGTTGCGTTTCGTTTCGTTTCGTTCTTTTATCATCGAAGAACGTTTGCAAGGGCGTTTCTTGGTCTCCTAATATAATCGATGGCGATTCGAATTCGATGCCTGGCTTAGTTATCAAGCATGCACAAAGCGTTCGGATTCTAGAACGCTTGATTAACCATAGTTTAGCATTGAATTGGCGCGTACTACAACAGCATAGGGCACGTAAAGTAAACGCGTCTACCCCTGCCGATGTTCAGTAGAGACTGCCGTTACGCTCTCGGCATCGTCCTTGCGATGTTTGTCATAGGAAACCACACACAATGGTCCGTCACACCGTTGTCGTATGGCTGACCATAGTTGACATATACCACTACTCCCTTATATACTATGCATAAACAGACATGCACCGAAGAATTGGCCTGGTTGTATTCCAACAACGTTTCGTATGTTTTCTCTCGATTTTAGGAGGATCGATCAACCGATCGATCGATCAAACAATCAATCAATCGATCAATCAATCACGTATAATTCTTAATTCAAGGTAATTATCGTCTACGATCAATTATTTCAGAAATCTTAATAATTAACTCGAGATATTCAAATTTTCGTAAATGAATGAATGGTACGTACGAAAACAAAACTTTAGACGACATTATCCTAATTCCATCGAAAGAGTTAAAACGATTTAAATGTAGATTTGATTTAAACGATACCTTGTTATTTTATTCAAATGACAAATGCAATGTCTCTTGCAATTAAAAGATTTAATTAATATGCTAAAAGGAGGAAGAAAGATACAGAGGATGGACAACATTAAATCGTAAACTTTCATCATCCATGAAGTCGGCAAACGTAAAGTCTGTTTATCATTTACCTTCTCTCTCTCTCTCTTTCTCTCTCTCTTTCTCTCGTTTTCTCTAAAAAGATGGGATGATGGAATACTCGCAATAATTATTGTCACGAAGAACGTGCCCAGAGTCCGGTAACATCCTCGTCCTGTGCTAATTAGCACGAGTCGACGTTTCTCATTTTGCTGAGGCAATTGGCGAGGCAGATAGAGAGCTTGGGAATCCTTTTGATGCTAACTGAAATACAAAAAGGGACGTTGGTCCAGTTAGGTGAAGCTTGAAGAAATGTTTCGGACGAGAGAGAGAGAGAGAGAGAGAGAGAGAGAGAGAGAGAGAGAGAGAGAGAGAAAGAGAAAGAGAAAAGATCAACAACTAAAAGAGAGATCAAGTTCAATTAAAAAAAAATATAAATAAAAAAAGAAAAATAAATAAATAATTAAAAAAGAAAAGTTAAAACTTTTGTAATTAGGGTAATACTAAAATTGATGGCCCTACTTTTAATTAAAGATTCAGTACATTGTAAGCTTAATCGACCGAAGAAAAAAAATATAAATTACTTATGAAAGTAAATACACTTGAGGAATTATAATATCAAGATAAAATTAAAAAGTAATTTTAAATTTGTTAAAACAAAAAAAAAAGAAAAGAAAAAAAAAAAAATAATAATGAAAAAGAAACAGAAAAATTGTTTCTCATTCAAAAAGTCAAATGAGATAAATCCCTGATTTGGAATGTCATGGCTCAAGTAAAACAAAGAAAAAAAACCAAGTTTTCGAACAGGAAGAAAAATTATTTTTTTTTTCTCGTATAAAACTTCTCCGCGAAGATCACATAAATCTAAAAATGTTAAACATCCTCCATGAAACCACTTATCATCACGTCACATTTCTGTTCCTTATATCCAACGCATTCATTATCTATTTCCTCAAAATTTTCTTCGAATTCTTGAATTAGAAAATCTAAAAAATTTTCTTTCCAAGACGCATTAATCTTCTTTAAAGGAAACGTTTTTACATTTGCATTTAGATTTCGATCGGAATTTTTATCATGAATTGTTAATTTCATCATTTGGAACGTTTCCAAACAGTTTTCTAATTGAACATCGAATTACAATTGTACGACGACGTATTGAGATATTAGTTATTAATTTTATTCGACATCATGACTGTATTACTTATTTCAAATTGAAAGAGACATTGTTATTAATTGCTTGAAAAATTTCTTTTCCCTTAAACATCGATAATAGATTAAATATAAATCGGTAAATATTATTTTAAACTTTTTCTTTCTTTTTTTCTTTTTTTTTTTTTCATTACGTAAATATATGCAAATCGTTGTTAATAGGTTCTTTACAATATACGTAGTATAACTGCATATACATCGTGGTTTACTAGATGGTACACGATGACGTAGAAATGGGTCGAGTGAGCGTCGCAAAACCCCGTAAGCTTTGATGCAAAGGACCGAAGGGCTTTTGCCACGAGCTCATTCTACGAACTTGAATCGCCCTTACGATATACCATTTCTCTATCGATTCTCTTTGTATTTATTTATTCGGAAAAAATATCTGAAATTGTGGTTGTCCCCTTCATATTTCATTTTACTTTTTCACGATTTTATCCAACATTTTAGTTCTCTTCTTTTCTTTCCTTTTACGGATCGACCATCAATGGACTCTTTTCTAATATTTTTCTATCAATGTATTTTGTTGTTCATTTTTAACATTTTCCTCTTGCTTTTCGATGGATAAGCTGTCCAATTTGTTTCTTATATTTTCTACTCTTTTTATATATATATATATATATATATATATATATATATATATATTTATCCAATATGTATGTATGTATGTTTATATTGTCAATTGTCACAACCCCCTACGTACATACACATACATATATATACAGGATGATTTTTATTAAGAAATCGAATTATCTAACATTTTTAATCGAGTATATATTGATATGATTTAATGAATTAATCGAGTGATACAATAATTAGGTATTTCGATTTAAAATAAAACAAAAAAAAATAAAAAAATAAAAAAATAAAAAAGAATTAAATCCTGTATATAAATATATTATCTTTATATATTTTACATTTCTATGTGATTAAATTTTTCACAGCTTTTATGAGGGTTCATTTATATGAAAGATTTTCATCAGAAATAGTACATCCGAATCGTCGGTGTAAGCACTCTATTCCAATAGATTTAACATCGATATCTTCGCATTATCGATAAGTATGATATGAAAGAATGTTAATGCGTATAGATATCCTACGTATAAACGTCTCTATTATGCCGCGATTCCAAGTAAAATATAATATATATATATATATATATATATATATATATATATATATATATATCATCGATTATCGAACCTATCAACTTTGCTTTACCTTTATTCTTTCTTTATTTCTACGATTCTCTTTGCTTTTCGTGAAATATATAGACGGTATTATTACTACTGATATCGTATCTGAAACTCTCCTATATACTTTATAATACCTCCCAATCTTACCGATTTCATACACCGTTCACGATATGCTATATATATATATATATATATATATATATGCACACACACACACACACACACATATATATATATATATATATATTTATATATATATGTAATACTTAGGTAGTGCTGAGAGATCAAGCGGATATACAGAGTCGGATTTTATTCAGTCGGCCTGCTTCCCTTCGAAGCGTTCGCGGCGAGCATCGAGCAATTTATTTTCAATGGGAAGCTTCGACGATCTAAAC